AGGAACAAGCCAGCCAGTACGCTGACTTGCGACAGCTGCAAAGGGGGCAGAGGTCACACGAGCCCACCAGCGGTCAAACACACGGTTAGTCAGCGGCAAACAAGCAGGTCAAATTTCGTGCGTCGAGCGCGGATATAATAACGGGGAAGGCTGAAACGGTCCAAGCAAACAGGAGCAACTATCCAGTTACTCTGACGATGGAACCGGGCGAGTGACCGAAACGTCATTCTGAAAGTAAAAATGTCAGTATCCTCGTACCTCCTTCCTCTTCTTTGGGGGATGGTGAAACGGACTATAAATATATAAACCTTTTCTAAGATGCTGTAGATTCCATACAAAAAGAATACGCAAAGGGGTCGCTTCATTATTCAGTTCATATGCATAGGTGAAATTATTAGGTGGCCCAGAAATTTGATGGCCATCCAACCTTTTAATTTTTCACAAACTTTGCAAAATTTCGTGTTGCATAAATTTAATCCCTTTCAGATTTGGGATATGCGCCAGCTGGCTGCTAAAACAAGTCCGCCATCCCCGCCGGGAGACCCAATGGAGGATCCAACCCTCACACTAGTCAAGCAGTCCTACATGACACCTGCCGAATCCATTCCAGTGGCCGGGGTTCCGACTTGGGACAAGAAACCAAATGACGACCAGGGCGAGTACCTGTACGCAGCGAAACTTCTACCAAGCCGAGCTGTGATATGCGGCGGTTCTGGTTTCAAGGAGGTCCGCATAGTTCATCGCGACACAAAACTGGTAAGTTATCTCGTTAGGAGAGATACTGCTGTATGATATGGTTACGCTTCGTGGAAAAATGTGCAATTCTGTACACACGTAAGACGTGACTACCGAGGCCATTTCTGCTGGTTACAGCTAGTTCACCACCATCATTGATAAGTTATTTTAAGTCTTCAAGGTCACTCGAAAAGTATTTTATGATGTCGATCGGTTTCGGCAGTTATATTACTATTGGTTGGTAATCACTTGCATAACTACAGTTCATTCGGTTCGGAATATTCTAGATCACAACTTTGGCACATTAACACAGGTAGATGGTTGATCGTATTCCTAGATAACGGGAAACTATGCGTTGCATGTGGGTGCACGAACCTGTACCTGATCGGTGTTCGCCTATCTACTAATGTTTGGTGCCGATTAACAACCGTAAAGCCATCGAGCTCAATAGTTCGATGGATAGGGCGTTCATCCCTGACCGGAGAGACGTGGGTTCGAAACTCGAGGGTGGCGGCAATTTCCCTGCCACACTTGGGTAGAGTATATCCAGCCGACGAATCCTAATAAGGTACAGATGGCCATCCTGGATTCTCTTTAGTCCTACGGTATGAAGTCCTAAAATAATGAATATGTTGCTGAAACATAGTAAGTAACATTACAATTAGCCATGTGACAGGGTGCGTGGGTGCACGAACTACACAAGGACATCGAAAACCAGGGCGTGTGTCCTATGTCTGATCGGTGTACGCCTATCTACTTAAGCCAGAAAATGTCTCCAATCATAATGTCACATTGAAAACTTTGATCCTCATCTGAAGATAGAAGAGACTGCAAGTTGGTCCACAAACTACAACATATTTGGTGAAAGAACAAATGCCTCCAAACCTAATGCCGGACTGAAAGCCGGAGAATAGGTTTTTAATCTTCCTCGGCAGCGAAGCATTCCTATGGTAGACTCAGGTAAAGTCCTAGTTTGTCGAACTATTCAGTTGCATGCAATTAAGTCCAATCGTTAAGCTTTCAGTCTTACTTTTGCCAAGATAATTGGAGAACAGCAGCAATCTGAACATTTCAGACGTAGATTTCCCCGTCGTGCTGAAATATATTCATACTTTTGTTAGCGGGAGAGGGGTTTGGCAGATCTGAAAAATGCATTTGGCCACTTGTGAGAACGTCAACGGCCACGACAGGAATGGAACCCACGTCAGCAAGTGGAAGGGCTGAGTGCAGCCAACTGAGATAAAATGCCCCACTGGAACTGTGAATTCAGTAAGATTTGGGTCGGATTACTCGGTCGATATCCTGAAACCTCTGAACTGCAC